CTCTCTCTCTCCCTCTCTCTGCATGTGTGTGTGTGTGTGTTTTAGCAAAGCATTTATTTTAGGGCACTTCTTTACTAAAATGCTCTTGCTTTTCTGTGTGAAAGCATTGCCTGCTAAGTGCCAGAATGGAAAAAAAAAACAACCACATAATTTTGGTATCCAGTAACCACTGGGTCTGGGAGTTCTGCTCTAGTGCACAAGTGTTGTGGACAAATTGACAATGTAAACATTACAGAAATGAGCTCAGGGTTTGGCAGAATCTAACAACTGATATTGTCTAACACAAGTGGTAGGAAACTGATGAACTGTTCACAGTATCATGCCTTGCTTCAGGCTTCTGCCCATATAATCTCATTGTACTGACACGTGTTGACTGGCTGGGTCAAATCCAGATGTGTTAATAATAGCACCAAAGGTACCTGGGTCTGAATTTTTCGGAGTGATTGCAATTTAAATATAAAGAAATTATCAAACTATTGTGAACAAAGGACATAGATATCTCATTGTCTTCTCTCATGCCATCTGCAAATACCACTGCATATCATCCTGCTTTGGCATTTCCAGAGTAATCTGTTGCTTTAAGGGCTTTAAAGAAAGGATTGCACAAGCTTGGTGGGAAAAAAAAGGAAACAAGGTCTGGAAAACTGCTCAGCTAAAAGACAATTCCCTCTGCAGCTTCCCAGCTCCTAGGTAAAGCCCATTCCTCTCAGGCTTACAGGCTGCATATCTGCCCCACTTACTAGGTCTGGGAGCGCTGTGCAGCACAAGGTGCCCAGGAGCGCGATACCTGCCTTGCTCCTGGTAGCCAGCTGAGCGGAGCATGAGCTGAGGCTGCCCACAACCTCAGAAGGTCACATCTTCCAAGAACACTAACCTCAGCTTCAGTTGGCATGTAATACACATGGTCATGGTATATCACAGAACCACGGAATCACAGAGTAGTTCAGGTTGGAAAAAAACCTCCAAGATCATTGTGTCCAACCATTAACACAGTACTGTCATGTTTTCCACTAAACCATATCCCCAAATGCCACATCCACATACTTCGTGAACTTGCCTTGATAGCCCCTTGAGGCCTGCTTTGTGCCTGCTGTTGCCATGCAAATGCATTTTATTTAATGTGTCATTTCAACGAAAGAACTGAGGGAGATCAAGTGACACTGCCAAGTGATGAGTTCAAAATAAAAGATAAAAAAGAGCAATATATAAAAATGAATACAAATGAAGTAGTTTTTCACACAAAAGCATTTAGCACCACCCATGAGTCAGATTCAGGGGTGAAAGCCATCCAGTTGGCCCTAGATATTGGTGGCAAAGAGCACTCAAAATTTACATTAATTCAAAAGGTAACAATTTTTTGCAGAAAAAGGTATCAAATGCCATAAAACCAAAAAAGACTGTAAATACAGATATAAGGTATATGAACATACAACCATTTGCATTTAGATATATTATATGTACCTGAATACACATTTGGCAAAAGCAAATCTTCTCAAGAAGGTATTTGAAATCCTTCCCTGACTTTGTTATTTCCCAATGGCTACCCTGCCTCAACAACATATTTGGTATATGAATCCAAGACCTAAGTATTTAGCTCTCACAGCAACAATGCAGGCATCGAGCTCAGAATTCAGGACTACATGCCTCTTTTGATGATATCCCTGAGATTATGGTACAATCATCATTTCCACCATGTTACTAAAGGAACATACTGCTTCAGAGTCTTTCATCACTCACACTGCAGTGCAAATCAGGGAGAGTTAGGTCATGGAAGACGAGAACTGTTCCTAAAATATCCAATACAGTTTTTCATCTGTATTTCTGCAAAGAACAGCTGAAATAATACAATTGATTTCATTAACTGAATCTACTCAGGAATCTCATAAAAATATACTAACAAAGGTCACAAGTACCTCCATCTAAATGATGCAGACTGCACCTATAGAATCACAATTATCTTGTATTTTTCTATCATTTCAACACATGAAACCACCAGTGCCAAGATGCATTTCTTCCAAGACAAGGGAGCTAATAATGAATCTCGGTGGGGAAGCTTGCAAGAAGCATCTACAAGGGAGCCCAGTTTTGGAGCCCATTGGCTTCCCCACTAGAATTGTGAACTTGGTCTGATGGAAAGGGTAGGAAGCAGAGCAGCCCCTTTACCCAGTTTTGTACTGTGAGCAGAGGAGCAGTAAGAGCTGTGCTTTCCCAATGGACATGGGACTTGAAGCCTACCAGCAGTATGAGAGGGGAGGAAGAACAAGAACTGCTGATGGAGGGAATCCTGGCAGAGGTGTCAATAGAGTAGTTCTCTGTGAGAAGAGGTGGTGGAGAAATAAATATCAATTAATGGCAACAGTTTTAACAGCTGGTTCTACCAAGTGGAATGAAGCACCTCCCACACAGCCCTCAGAGTAAAGATTAACACAGATTTGAACAATAAATATTAACATAAGCTTATATAATTTTAAGGTTAGTAAACCAACACCAAATTCATTAGGCAAATAACTGCTAACTTATTAGCTCTGGCCCTGCTCAAATAGCTCTCTGTCCCAGATACATACAAGGTAGCAGCCATTCTGCCTGGATGATAGGGCTGTAATGCTGGTGTTTAGGAGTCCACGGTGCAGAAAAATGTCTACAGTGTGGTAGAACAAGCAGACCCACATTTCTGACTAGACACCTGCAAACATCATGTTACTTATCAAAATGTATAAACATGCTTCCACCAACCCATGGACCATTAGAACCCAATGCTTCTCAAAAGCAAAGCATTGTATAAGACAATTTTAGTAAATATCTGCATTAACAAATAAAAGAGCAGCATTTTGACACAAGAATATCCTACATAATCTGAGACGATTTTGGCATGGAGTTGTTTATAGCAAAGCATTAAGTTCAGCTATAACACCAGCTGACTTGTTCTCTGGAAACTCTATTCCCTGAAAGGCAGCATTACAATTAAAGAGGGAAGAGTATTTCAGCTGACATAGCATTCCTGCTATAGGCACAGTCAATCAAGAGAAAGGCCAAAGCAACAGTCAGATAAAAGACTAATAAAGCTACGAATGACAATAAAAGTCCACTGAAAGCTTTATTAGATGGTGAAAACCTAGCTCAGAACATAAAACAGCCCTTACGCAGAATAACCCCCAAACCTTTTACCACAGCTTGCAATAGATGTCACACTGTGCTGGTGAGGGCCCTGAAAAGCATAACATACACCAAAAAATCAAGGCCCAATCAGAACTGCAAATAGACTGGTATGCTGAGTAAGTTGCTTTATTGTAATATTCTGTGATAGAGGTTGGACTCCCTCTGAACTCCCCGGAAACAGCAATTCCTTAGCTACCTTCTCTAATCTGTAGATCTCAAATTACTTTGAAAGAAATAAAATGTCCCATTTTTCATTTTCCAGAAAGGGAAGCTGAGGCATAGAGGGATGTTTTAACACTTTATTATGAATTTCTTTTAAGTAATTTAACCCTCAGATTATGGGAAGATGTTGTATGGCCTAAGCAAATTCATGTACATATACCTTTTTAATGTATTTCTGGACATCCCACAAGTTTTAAGATTCAAATTCTTATGGTCAGGAGATTCACATGTTGGTAGCTTTTTTGTGTCGGCAAAACTGGTATGCTACTTTCTTGTTAATGATATGTATTTTTTTACAGGAAAACATGATATGAAATTCTAAATTTCATATTTTTCTTTATAGTTATAATGGTCCTCAAAAATGTCTTCTGAGAAACTGGCACACAGGAGTGTATCATTCTTTCACTTAGTAAAGTACAGCTTTAGTAAATATTAAAAATTTCCGCAAGATTAATACTGTACCAAGTTGAATTTATTTTGTGTTATTAGAAGCAGTCCTAGCAGAATGAACACTGCCGTGTTCAACAATATTTGGAGGCAAGAGAATAAGTGAACATGTGAAAAGCTAAACCACAACACAGCAAAGCATACAGTCTCTCTGCACCAAAAAGGTGAATGTTAGGATGGTGGTGTAACCAGATAATTCAGGGACTCTAGTAAGAGAATAAAAGACTGGGAGACTGGCACTCATGCTAATAGATGAAAGTAACTGGGGCTCCTGTGTTTTGCACTGTACATATGCTTAATGCATACATGTTCGGTGCAGTGAGGCATTTAAGCATCCTTTGAGCACTTCTGTCCAATCAGAGCTGGGGAGAGTTTACCTTCTTTGCAAGAATAATTCACAGCAAGAACTGCTCCTAGAAGGCATCATGTGTGAGATTTCACCAGATTTCTTTCCCACACAACGATACCTCCTCCAGCAATACCATAACAGGGTGTGTAGCCTGACACAGCCCCCGTGTACCTTTAGTTTCATCTGACTCTGCTCTTGGCTGCCAATACAGCTCTGACATTTTTGCATATTATGAATTGAAGTAACCACCCCACAAAAAAATCATATTTTTTTCTCAGCATGAGAGAAATATCACAATGGGCCCAGGCAAAACATCAGTCTAAGTAGGTAGACATATGGTCAACTTAGTCTAGTGGGAGCTAAGGCTCAGGTTATCAGGCTGTCTTTGGATCCATACTCGGCAAGAAAAATTGGCAATAGGCAGTGATCCTTGAACCATTTCGGTTTGGGTTGGGTTTTTTTTTAAGTCCTCATATTTGTACAAGAGATTCAGTAGTTTCAAGGAAGCTCCTAAGAAGAAGCTTACCTTCTATCAGGTGAATTCTATGTTAGGTCTTGGCCCTTCAGCTTAATATTCCCATTAAGGTGTCAGTTACAGGGACAAAGCTGCCCATTAGTATTGCACAATTATGCTAAAGAACTGAGGTTATAAGGTCCACTGTGCAAAAATGTGGGAGATAGAGCCAAAATTGTTTGCAATCTAATTAAACAGAGTCCTTAAAAAATAACAGAAGGACACAGAAAGATGAATGGACTTGCAGAGGGTACATAGCAAAGAAGAGGTTGAGTTAAGACTAACATGCAAGACTCTTGGCACTCACTTTTTCTTAATTTCAGTTAATTATATTTTATTAATTCTGAAAAAAAAAAAAGAAAAACATTGTTAGAAGTGGTGGATTTACCATCTTCAGAGATATTCAAAACCTGTCTGGATACAGTTCTAGGCAACAAGCTAAAAGTGGCCCTGTTTGAGCAGGGGGTTTGGTCAAATGTCCCATCCAACCTCAACTATGCTATGCTTCTGTGAACATTAATAACTCATTTTATTTTTGAAAATTAGTAGTTTTGCCCAGATTTAAGCCACTAAACTTGAATACAAACCTCCATATTTCTACTACCTGAAATTACATATGTGTACATAGTTACATATATAATGTATTTTATATACATTTAGCAATTGCAATAAAAAATCTTTTAGCAATTCTCTTAGCAGGCTCCCCCTTTTTAGATTTAACAATGTTGCAAGCAAAGGAAACATCTGACTTTGGAATTATATCAACACAAAGCAGTTACTTTTGGATTCTAAATATGATAGGATCATATAAAACATCTGCAAGTCATTGGTTGGAGCACAGATTAGAAGGAAAAAGTTCTAGGATATTATGCATATGTACAATTCATTAGGCCTTAAGTCCAATTTTAGCAGCATGCAGTCCATGTGCATTGGCTTATAATGAGTTACTTTAACGCACAAACAAGGTGAACACTGTTCACACTAATACCTGTAGAACTTGCTCCAGTTGGCACCTGCTAAGCACTACACATTCTGAAAACATTCTGAAAACATTATTCCAAATGCTTCAAGAACTTCTGAACACCTTTTTAAGATGCAGGTGTTTTCAAATTATGTATAAATTCTTCAAAAGATCAATTAAATTCCCCAGACTTTATGTAGCTTGTTAGATTTGGGGGCAGGGGTGTTGGAGGGGTATTAAATAGCAAGAATCTGGAGATAGTCTGTTTATTTATGACACAATCAATCAGTCCTTATTCTTTTTGCACAAGGAAATATTTTTCCAGTTCGAACAAAAAAAATATTAAGAATAGCTTTAAATATTTCTTAACATATTAGAATATGAAACAGGCAGCTAAGGGAAGAATGCCATTACCTTCTCTGTTTTTTATTCATTTTGATCATCACTGCTGAAGAAAACGTGAGTCATGAAATGCACCAACACAGATGTTTCCATAGGGAAGAGGAACCATGAAGTCTAAATGAAAACACAGCAACCTATTTTAAAAAAAAAAAAAAGAAGAGAGAAAGAGAAAAAAAGAGACGTATCGAACTTCTTTACACAATTAAGCAGCATTTACAGACAGATTTCACAAAGCTCAGCTCAGTTATGAATAATCCACACCCAATATGAGATGCAGTGTGCATCATGGAATATCGTGGAGCATTTTCTATCCTGTGCAGTCTTCACACCTTGTGGAAGGACACAGCTAGGGCGTGACACACTGTGTCACAGACCTTTTAAGTCCCTAACCAGAGAAGAGATTTCCTTTCTTTTCTATGTTTTATCTCAAGTATTGGAAACAAGTACTGTTCTTTACACAACACTAATGACACTTGCTTTTCTATTCCAACTTATCAGGCTAGATTTGTCAAACCAAAAGGCATAATTTATCTATGCATACTTATTCTTAAGCAATCAGTTCACCTGAATAACAGTAAAAATTAAATTTTAAGATAATGTTTATTTTTCCATAAATAAAGATATGTAAAGATTCAAGAATAAGTTACAGCAATTTGAGGAGCACTCAGAAGCTATTGTCACCCAAGGTCTGCTACATGTATACACAAAACCATTTCTGGTGTAAAGGATTGAACTCAGGGCTGTCTTCATTCGTGTAAATTTTATAACTGCAACTTCTCCCTCTCCCCCTCCACCTACCACACTCTGCATTTCTCCCTAAATCTCACTTTCTCTTCCTCCAGCCAAGCGTCCTTTGAGACAGCCCTACAAAGTGGCATGCTGGCATTCCTTCAGTTTTCTTTCTGTTGACTGCAAATAAGGATGAGTCAGGTCAGAAAGGACTGGTTGAGTTCTCTTTTTTTTTTTCCACCACCTCATAAGAAAAAGCTCTCATACTTTTAAAGACTGCTTATCAATTCCTACCTATCAGTTCCACAAGTGTATAAATGTGTGTGCTCATGTGTCTACATGCATATATTTATATTTATGGGATAGTATAGCATAGCATAGAGTAGAATAGAATAGAATAGAGTAGAATAGATGTATGTATGTATCTTTCATGATGCTTGAGGATATCTGACTTCTGAGAAGCTTCAGAAAGGTCTGGGAGGGGAGGTACAACCCTTACCACAGCAAGGAGTAACTCTTGGTGACTCCCTGCTGGACATCGACATCTCTCACTCTGACTCCGAGGAACACAAAGGTGTGATTTAATATATAAGGCCATGAAACAAGCAGATCACAGGTCTGCTAATTATTTTTCTTTTTTGGAGGGGGGCAGTGCTTTTTTGTGTCTTGTTTGTTTGTTTGTTTGTTTTCTTTAGTACTAAAAATTAATTTACAGATGGATCAGCTCTTTTTGACACCAGACCATAAATTCTAGCACAAAGTCATAGCAAGAACAAATAGTAAGCATTTAGATCACTCTTTTCGGTGTTGTCTTGGTTTAAGCTGGTGTAGAACCATACCCTACATCCCACCATCTCACATACCGAGTGAAACTGTGCTAAAAGGCGAGTACAGAGAATCCCCTTACATTTCCAGGACTCTGGCCATTCAGCTGCTTGTCTGTCTGTCAATTTCCTAATAATTTTTTTTCAAATCATTTTGATTTCAATTGACTAGACTTACCAGGGGTTTAGAAATTTCCAAGGTGCAAAGCTTACACAAGCTTTTGTGAAAAATGGCATCTGTGCATTGGGAGACTTAAAGAGCTCAGTATGAGAAAATCATTTTAAAAAGCAGTATGAACTCAAGAGTTATCTCTTGTCTCTGACCAATGTGCACAACTGGACCATCAACTCAAGATGTCCAAAATCAGCTTGGCATTGTTCTCCCTCTTGTGTAGGCTCCTCCTCCAAGGAGATGAGGGTACTGTGTTAGACTATTTGAGACATGAAGGAAAAATGGAAGTTCAGGAAAGATAACTAAGATCATGAGGAAAAAACTGAGACACTTATGGTCTAAGTATGGGTACACAGAACACAAATCCACTTAATAACATTTACAATTTGTGGGAAAAATTGGTAAATTATACTCATTAATTCTAGATATTGCAAATAACAGTGTTCTAGCTGTTACTTTTGTTTAGGAAAGTGAACTTTAAAACAGTTGAAAGAATTTTTATACGTAGTTTTATTATGACATATCTACTCACATCATTCAATGAACAGACAAATTAAAGTCTGTAGGACACAAATTGTGGAATTATAGCTTTCTTGGCATAGTCAGTGACATTAAAACCCAATCTACAGTGTAAAAAGGACAGTAATTAGGAAACCTCAACCAACTGGAAAACTTGGAGAATCACTTCAAATATCAGAATGAAAACTTTCCTATGAGTCCTTCAAGTTCTGACATTCATCTAATAGCTACAAAACATATGTTCCTATGCCACACTAACCCAGGGAGCTATTATACACAAGTGCAGGTACAGAGAGGAAAAATAGGGAAATGCATTTTTAATTGTATCCTAAAAAAGTCAACAAGCCTTCAGGTCATCTGTTTTCCATTTTTACAGAATTGTTCCTGGCTCATTTTGGAAAGGATGATTTATGGATGACTCCCTAAAACCGTGCTGTCCTTTCCATCTCATCTGTTTTGGGCAAAACAAAAGACAAGTAGCAAGTAGAGGTTGTGGGTTTTTACTGACTGACAGGAACTTGTGGTTGGAACTTCAGTGAATAGAGGAATTAAGGAGAATAAAAAGTAAGGAGTCCACTGACAAACCAAGCTTAGGAGGATGCACTCTTAGGTGGTGAGCTGAGGAAAGCAGCATGGGTAGGAAACAGGTCATAGTAGGAAGTTCAGAGAATAATTTAGCCAAACTGCTTCCAGGAGATAGTGTAGTTATTTCTATGGTGATTACTAAGAAATAACAGAATTACTTTGTATCCTGCCTGAATATAAGCCTTGCATTCCTAGTGTACGTAATAGTCTGAATGGAAAATATGCCATTACCTTTAACGAGAAATCTTAATGGACTTCTTCAAAGGTTAATGTGTTGTCAGGTAAAAAAAGGCAGGCCAGAAAATGATAATGTTTCTTTTCAGAGTGTATACCTATCCCTGAGATTTTCAAAGACTCGAACAGGCTAAAGTTTTTCTTTCTTATGTTGCCCAAACTATTCAAATTGTCTCAGACTCATCACTGTCTATCACTAGTCTGGCAACAACTTTGAAGACACCTATCTAAAAAGGACATCTTGCAGCAATTAAATGTAGTGGAGTAGAGAGCTCTGATCTAGACAATAAACACCCTTTTCAGCACGGTGCCAGGTCTCCCAGCTGGGAGCAAGCATAACTAAGGCAGGACTGAAATGATGCTGGCAGTCAGCAAGCTGTCTAAGACTTTTGTCAGGGCTGCCAGCATTTGTTCAGTTGAATTGGTGTCATCAATAGAGAGGTTTTTATTTTTTTTCAAAACTTTCCCATGTGTAAACAAGACTTAGGATGCAGAGCGACATGGGAAACATTAATTTCACACTGTAGTGACACTATAAGAGAAAATAAAAATGAAAACAATCTAACAGGAATGGTTTCATCTAATTGGACTGTGCAAAAACAATTACAGGAAAATAATTGCCTGATTGTTTAAAAGGATTGCTAATGGGCAGAGTTAAGGTTATCTGAGTGCATTAGCCGTGTCCTTCTGAGGCTTAGATTTCTATTAAGATTTGCCTTGAATCTAAATTTCCAGAATTTATTCTTAGTCTTTCTAGAGAAATTGTAGCATTCCTGTAATGCATTTCACTTTAGCTTACTGATACATCCTCTCAACTCTGATTCCATTTTAATGTAGATTTAATTTAGGAATAGAAAAAAGAGATTTTTTTTTTCTTTCTCTTTGTATTTGAAAGACTTATATCTGCAGGTGCCATTAAATACACATTTTCACACGTGTTTTTCACACACATACTACTGTGGATCAATGGATGAATGCTACTATATTTTACAGTTCAGAGAGATACCTTAACACCTATTCATTTTAATAGTCTGGACTTCAAGCCTAGATCTGGAACTCCAGTTTGATCCTGGAAATCTGGAATAATGATTTGTCAAGATTTCTTTCTATAGGATCAGACCATGGGAAAGATATTGTATTTTAGATTATGTGTGTAACTGTATTTGCTCTAACTTTTACATTTTTTTGTTTGTTTTTTCTGCTTTTTTCATTTTGGTTTGTTTGTTTTGTTTCTTTCTTTCTTTCTTTTAAGGAGGAGGTAGAAGGGAAATCTCACTGCATATTTAATATTTCTGATAATAAAAATATATAATTAAATATTCCTGATTTTACTTTAATCCCTGATTTTACATATACATTTCTCAGTTTACTCTGGAAAAATTTTATAGAAAAGTGCATTAGGTAAAAACATTTGCAATAATAAACTTCATGTAGAGATTTTTAAACAAAATTTACTTCTTTTTCTCATAGATATCTGCTTCTCCAAAATGCAGAGTTTCAGACATCACTGTCTTTTAGAGCAGATGATACAAAAAAAAGTGGTTTCCACTCACAATTTATGATCAGCTAGTTGTGTTAAGTTACATCACAGGTGGAAACAATATCAAGTTTTGAGAGCACGGTAACAAAAGGGTGTTCTCTTAAAGGAAAACACATCTTTACAGATCAGAAGCCAGCACTAGTTTGGGTAGTGTTTATGTTTCATCATCTAACTTTTCACAACAGGTCTAAGAGGAGTCATTGAATAAATTAATATTATAAAATTAACCTGGATCAAAGTCTTTTTCTCTGCTTGTGTGACTAGCATTATGTTTCTAAGAATAGATTTTAGTTCCAAAACATGATGCATTTCCATGGTTCCAGAACTTTATTTTCTAGACAGGAAAAAGGATAATTACTCTCTATTCAGCTAATTGATTTTAAATTATCCTTGACTATTTTTCAAAGATCTCCAAGAGATGCTTCATGACAATCTATAAAGTAACAGCAATTAATTTAGCAGTAAATAAAAAAACTTTGGTATTCAATTAGCCTACAGAGTCACTTAAATGGCATAACAACATAAAAACATCAAATCTGTTTATCTCTTTTCAAATCTTAATTTACTTCCAATTTCATAATTATTTATTTAGACTTCTAATTTACAGTCTGGATCTGTACTGATTAATATGATTGTGAATATATACAGACTACATTTATGTAACACATATACTCTAAACAGACACAGTAACAAATACTTATTAGTACTGTATTACTTCAAAATATTATATGTATGAATGCATCTGATATCTATACTGTGACAGGCTTGATGGTTATATCAAGCATATACAGCTGAAAAGAAAAAAAGGTGGTTTGGCTTGAATCTTTAGACCCAGGAAACACCTGAAGGATTTTCTGAAACTGTAGTGGCAAGTTTGGACTTTTTTTTAAATTTTATTTAACTTATTTAGATTTACAGAACATATGTATCATCCAACTGGTGACCAGTCTGTGCCCTTACAGTTCTGTAAGTAACAATCTCATCAACATAATAGTAATACATTTCTCATCCTTTTAATGAAATTTTATTCCTCCAAATTCCCAGGTATCAAATAAAGTCCCAAAATACAGTAGTACTCATCATGCACTAGCAGCACAGTTTCTCATATATTTGGGGGAACAGATGAAAAAGGCTTTGGAGTATGTCCAGAAAATCAGTACATTTGATAGTAGTATATCAAGAAAGGTGAGGTAAATTGAACAAGCAAAAAACTTCTTCCAAAAGAAAAGGACCTCAATTCAATGCTTTCTATATTTTTAACTTAAAAACAAACAAACAAACAAAAACTTATAATATTGTTTGTGTTCTGGCTGAAAGACCTTTTATATTCTGCAAATGCAAGGATAGTGACAGTCTTCTGGTATGGGATTGTACAATCTGAACAATTACTGAGGTTGCTTTGTCAAAGAATTTAAGGACACATGGAAGATCCCCAGAAGTCTTAGTATTTCCTCTTTTCACCTGTGTCCTATACATTATGTTAGGACAGGCTAAACATGGACAAGAACTGAGTATGGGACTTTTTCTGAATGGCCTTTCTGAATAGAGTTCCATTTCTAACATACAATAAGGCTTCTTTACAGCACACTGGCCATGCTATAAATGAAAGTTCCAGTTACAGAAACAGCTCAATATATCCAAAAATACACTAGAAGGGGTTTTGCTCTGAAGCATACATATGAAAAAGTTCCTGACAAAATGTCCAGTTTCTTCTGTTATTTGTTTGTACAAAATTAACCTTGTCTCCTTGGATACAGTTACAGTTTGTAAAACATTTCACTGAAGTTTGACTGTGGGCATGCATCCTGTTATTCATACAGCCTAAAGGTTAGCAATAAAAGCAAGAAAAGTTCTCTGTAAGTTATTACAGCTAGATTCTAAATATTGATTTTGTAAGAATCACAAAAGGACTAAAAGTAATTATATTAGCATTCAAGTTACATGAACTTGGATTCATGGAGTTCAGACATCAGAAAGAAGAGACATAGTTAATGTGTCAGAGTTACACTTTGATTATGTAAAGAATTTTAATAGAAATGTTAAAATGTGTCAGAGTTACAGTTTGATTATGTAAAGAATTTTAATAGAAAAGTTAAAATTAGTATGAATGGATGATGACTGAAAAACAGTGTGTGGAAATACCAGGAAGATAAAGACAGGAAAGGGCTATATGATGAGCAGGCACAGATGCACGAGCATTAGCAGATCATTAAAATCCGAGCTCATATTTAGGCTAGACTTCACAGGGCATCCAAGTGGGAACACAAAGGACAGTGAGTAAATCCTGATTCTCACAGAGGTGGGACAGGATGAAGAGCGTTATTGTGGTCATTTTCTAAAGGGACAAAAAGCCCCATCCAAGCAAAGTGTATGGTTATTAACATAAGAAGAATTCAAGACCATCAAGAGGAGAACCCAAAAACTGGTGTCTCTTGTCTCTCATCTTCTCCTAGACAGATGACCTGGATACCAACATCTTGATGTTTGTGAACATGTGAGTAGGAGAGCATGACCTGGGAGGAGCACAATGTTTTTTAAGATTCATTTCATTTTAAAATAAAATCCTCTGAC